TAACCCCCGAATGGGAAGCTTTGTTCATCCCCGTCCAGAGAGGGTGGCGCCAACCAGTGGTGGCCGACGATGTCTTCCATTTTCTGGTGGTGCTCCATTTGTAACATGTAATAATTGCTTTGAAATTCTGCAGCTGCCCAAAAAAGTATTGCTTGCGGAAAAGAATAAACAGAAGGTGCGATGCGGGGCATGCTTTACTGTGATCGATTTTGCTGTTTCTAATAAGAAACTAGTTCTTTCTCATGCAGAAGCAAAGAAAAATCTGTCGGAAGTTAATAGCTTGAATGAGGTGGTCAATGACAGTACTTTACATTCACATGGCCATGTCACCCGGATCTATGCTCATTTCTCCTCTGATGATTATGATACTTCTGGCTATGATTTTCAGTCAATAGATAGAGAACCTGCGTTACCATCCACAGGCCCAAGTTCAACTGGTAGCAAGCCTCATGAGATGCAAAGCTTTCATTCTTCATCTCCCAGTACCTCTGAGGATGACAGCATCCCAGAAGCTCCAGTTCCTCCAAAAGAATGCACAAATTCTATTCAGCAGCCAATCAAAGTCACTGTTTCTCCGCCTCCTGCTGGTTCACCTCTAGAGGAACACTTTGAGTTCTCATCGAACAATCACGTGATAAACCGACTTGGGAAGGGAAACTGCAGTAGTCGTTCAGATCAAGAGAAGGTAAAGCCAAATAAGGTCACCTCGCGACAAAACTCTTTAAAGGAGACATCAGTAGCAACTGAGATGGAGGTATCATTTAATGACTACTCCAACACTGGGGTTTCCCAAGATTCCTGGGATGCAAACAAAGAGGAGGATCAGCCAAGAACCAACAAAGGGAGTGATTCATTTATTACGAACTTTATTAAGAAGAGCTTCAGGGATTTTTCCAAATCAAATCAGACAAGTGGTGGGAGAAGTAATGTCTCGGTTAATGGGAATTTAATACCAGATCGTGTGCTCAAGAAGGCCGAAAAGATGGCTGGAACAGTCCATCCTGGACAATATTGGTAAGTGTACTAAACACATAGTGCATTTCTAGGCATGATTACCCTGAATTATGCTTACAATCTGTTACTGCTCTTATATCCGTGAAAACAGATCAGTGCTTTGTAAGAAATATAAGATAATAGCTTGCCTACTTATAATAGCTTTTGGAAAAACTGGTAAACAAATACAATCACGGGATCACAAATAGCTTTATGTTGCAACTATAATCTCTCTCGCCTCCTCCATTTTACTCATGTCTTTGCCTTCATCAATTTCGAAATGCAGGTATGATTTCCGAGCTGGATTCTGGGGTGTCATGGGTGGCCCTGGTCTTGGCATCATTCCTGTAAGTTAAATTGATTTGACGCTAATATCAAATCCATAAGCGGTTATTTCTAGTTATTTGCTAATGTTAATGGAAAATTCTTTTATTGTGCAGCCATTTATTGAAGAGTTCAATTATCCCATGCCTCAGAACTGTGCGGCCGGAGATACCGGTATTTTTGTGAATGGAAGGGAGCTTCACCATAAAGATTTGGATTTGCTGTCCAGTAGAGGACTTCCCACAACCAGAGATAGATCTTATATCATCGAGATCTCAGGGAGAGTCCTGGATGAGGACACTGGTGAAGAGCTTGATAGCCTTGGCAAGCTAGCCCCAACGTAAGCACTAACGATTTGATAGCCGTCTCATTTAGTTCTTTGTTAATTATCCAAGATAGTAAAATGTTGCTATTATAACCAAGAGCATATAGACATATTAAATCTTTATGTTGTCTTTTATAATGGACATGCGGTTTTCTGTGATGAATGGAACATGGAATGACAATGTGTTGAATATATTGGACATAGATAATCTAATAACACATCTTTAACAGAAAATGTTCATGAGTTAACCACTTTGTGCTCAGCATCATTTATAGTTTTACGAATGATATTGTATGTTTTAGCCACTCTTTTTCCTGTTACCTGTACTGATTTAATGTAGTGATATTCATACTGTTTAATTTGTCTGATCTAAACTCTCCCTGGGAGCTTTTGGAATCTTCTAATGTTTCTTGCTTTGACAAAACTTTGAACAGAGTTGAGAAGGTAAAACGTGGATTTGGCATGAAGCTTCCAAGAGCAGCTGCATAATCAACATGTAGAAATCACTAACTTCATCCCTCGTGTGGAGATTCTCAAGTCATCCATCCCGAGTTGGAAAGTAAAATTATTGGGGAAAAAGGGGAAAGAAACCCAGTCGATGAAAAATTCTTTGAAATGTTCTGCAGCTGCACAACGTTGCAGATAACCGAAAATGAATGATAAGCTGTAGGATGCTAAGTAGGGTGGTTTTATCTGATATCTACAATAGCTGTTTTCTGGTTTGATTTGTTTAGTGCATGTAGATCATGCTAGTTTTCTTTCAGCTGCGACTCTTCATTTATTAATTTATGTAAATGGTTTGGTTTTCTGCTGTCTTGCTATTATAATGTATGAGGTTAGCGTTTATCTTGATCGTATATAAATTTGCCGGTAGCCATTTCTATTAATTTCAGTTTTTTTCTGCAACATATCGGTTTCCTTTTTTGCCCCTGCATAAACAATTGGTGCTTGTCTCAAAATTATGAGCAAGGAGGTTGCAACTCAAATAAATAAGAGCGTTTATCTATGCACTCTAAATTCTGTGCTTGAATCCTCGCTCTTCCGGGAATAATAAAGTCTCAGTGGTTCAAGCAACTACTGACCTAATCGATTGTTAGCTTCTCAATCTGGCAAATGAAGGGCAGGAGGCAATCTTTGGGACCCCGAGAGAAAGCTGAAACAGGCCAAGCCAATCATTGGTTTGTCCAGCGCAAATGCACAAAGACGTAAGCAAGCCTCAGGACACTTTGCAAATCCCATATGCAGTTTTGGTGGGCTCACCCTCATATCAGCCTATTGCTTAGAGCCCAGTACAAGGGGCATACCAAAATAGGAAAATTCAGAATGGCCATTTGGAACTTATATATGAGAAATGATTTTTGTACTCATTTTTTAGTCGTTGGATTAAATAAATTATGAGACAATGAGGAGTATAGAAAGAGAAAATAAAAGTGCGCAAATTATTTCACTGTAAGAAAATGCTAACATCAGTCGTCTATCAACATTCACATGCATGAACTTTGTGAATCAACCTGTGTGCGTGCCATCTAACTGATGAAAATTATCTATCGAAAGAATCTTATGATGTTTAAATACATTACAATCATCTATCTCACCGACAATATCACTAAAGACAATACATTAGTTGCAAGGTAGTTTCTCTTGCTAAGACTTGGTAAAGGACAATTCTGAAAGGACGGGGGGGTTGAAACTTGAATGCATTGCAGTCTGCTGTATGCAGTTGGTAATAAAGCCAATGTGATTGATAGGAAAGCTCTTTAAAGCTTTCGCTTTCCCTACCATTAACCATCAGGACCAGACCAATCCCTAATTGGTCCCCCCACCCCACCCCACTTATATGAACCATCTAAAATATAAGTGTTAAATTAGATAAGTTCAATTCGTAATATACTTTAAAAAAAAAAAAAAAAAAAGAGAAAACCACACAAATTGTTTGTGTTTTTATGGAAGGAAAACAGAAGAAATGCATGAATTCTAAATAATTCATTGTACCTAATCATTTCAAATTCATAATCTTGTTTCTAATTATTTTAAATACATGCTTCCAGCACTGCGTTATACTACACAAAAGGTTGTATTTGTATGGAAAAAAGTAGAAGGATGTTTGGATTTGATTAACTCATTACCTAATATTATTTTATAATATAAATGTTTTTTTAATGTGACAGTAGCATTGTTGGGCCGCCAATTAATAATATTAATTCAGGTATATATTACCGGTTAACATGATTAACTAGATAATTACGTGGATTAATTTACAAGTAATCATCCAGCAAAGAAAATAAAAAGAGTTGGTAGCTAATCACCAAATGTGGTGTAATCAAGGTTGGCGACATTCAAAGAAAAGAAAAGAACAATATGATTCAGAAAAGTGCTCGACAGATGATGTAAAACAACTTAGGGTTTAAAGCTGCTCACACGTTTCAGCCAGCTAATTGGGATAATATAATAATCTACCAACTCCCATTTTACTAATCAAATTCAGGTGAGCAGTGCATGTCATGACTCATGTGCATTGCAATTTGCAAACAAAAAATAAGACACAAAAAATGTTTGACTAATATATAGACCATTTTAGTGGTTGAGATGAATTTCAAATCCGTATTTCACATAGCACGTCTTGGGTTTGATTCTTGTCATTAATGAATTGCAAGATGGTGGTTATGGAGAGCTTGAAATGCCTCTGTAAATATTCTTGACTCCTAGAATGATGGACTGTTGTAGCGAAACCACCAGCTAGTCCTTAAAAAAAAAAAAAAGAATAAATTGACTAAGCACATTTAAATTGACTCCTGCAACCTCTAGAAAAGGGAAAGAATAATTAAAAACCACAAAAAAAAAAAATATATAGTTATTACTCATCATTAGTCTACAACATAATTGGTCCTATTTGTGAAGACATTTTTTGTCAACAGATTAAAATACAAAACGAATAATTTGTCCTGGATGATAAATAATTCTTTCCCTCAGTGTGAATTTAAATCGAGATTCCTAAATATATAGTAAATAATAGCAGTTTGCTAATAAAAGTGAAGCAAAAAACATCATAGGATGTTTTATATAATTGCATTGTTTTGTCAACTCAAAGAATGTTGTTATGCTCAGTGTTGAAAACTTCAAAGAGTGGATTTAAACTGAATTCTCACATTCTAACATGGTAACAAAACATGCAATTTACGTGTTGAGTTTTGACTCTCACACGTGTTCTCACACCGCTCATTATGTGTTGGGAATATGGATCTCATGTGAAAAATTAAATTCTTGCATAATAAGCTTTACGCAACTCACACCACGTCTCTATGTATTAGGCAGACATTAATTATCAACACAAAACAAAATATTTTCTTCCTAAAACTAAAACCTCATTTTTGGTTTGGTTTTTTTTTTTTTGGGCTCAAAATCTGGTTTGTTTTGCTGCAAAACAAAAACCACGGATTTCATCACTTCTGTTTCTATTTTCATATTCTTGAAATTCTCCTCTCTCTCTCTCTCTCTCTCTCTCTCTCTCTCTCTCTGTGACCTCTGAGATGGGGAAGGAAACGAGGGTTGAATCGAAACCAATATTGTCATTCCACAAAAACAACCATGTATTTGTGAAGTTTGCAGTCTGTTTTGTCTTAGTTGGTCTCGCTTTTCGACTCTTGTTTTCCGATTCTGCACCTTCTATCGGCTTAAATTTACCAGTAGAGCCACCTTCTCATTGCAGCTGCAGACCAGCAAGAAACAGAGTCCTCCTCCTCCTCTGCTTCTGATTCTTCTTTATTTCCTGTCCAAACTCAAACCTCTACAGTTGTTGATTTTCCTGGAAGTAACTCTCAAACATATGACAATGGTAAGTATTTTCTTTTATTTATGTCCCTGTTTTGGTGTTTTTGTTCGGTTGAAACCACATGCATCAATGCGAAAATCCAAATCAGACAAAGATATTTTTTTATGCAAGCGATATTCTACCTATACTAAATTCATCTAAACTACGGAGATGGAGATTCGAGTTTTATACAGTTTTAGTATGTAACTGATTTGTTCACTTTTACTAAATAATGTTGTTGCAGTAAAGTGTGACCTTTTTACTGGAGATTGGGTACCAGACCCATCAGGTCCAAGATACACTAACGAAAGCTGCCATGTGATGGAATCTCATCAGAATTGTATGAAGAACGGTCGCCCCGATTCCGAGTACTTTTACTGGAGGTGGAATCCAAGAGACTGTGAGCTACCCAAGTTCAATCCGCAGAGTTTTCTTGCTACGATGAGGAACAAATCATGGGCCTTCATTGGCGATTCGATTTCGCGTAACCATGTCCAGTCATTGCTTTGCATTCTCTCTCAGGTACACTCGAAACTTGAAAACTAGCTTATGTTTACTGAATCTATATGCTTTAGATCTACTAAACTCTGTTGATTTTGCTTTGCACTTCCAATTAACCGCAGTAGCCGCTGTGACGATTTGGTCTAGTCACACTAAGTTTCCACTTTGTTGGACGCGGCCTTAAGCTCGAATCTCATGGACGACTGTTGTAATAAAAAGACGTTTAAAAGAATCATTTCACTTTTTAATGAAACCTTAGCCACTTTTTCTCTTTGGAAATTGCATGGAAGTTTAGATCAAAATTAGGTTGTGGATTACAGCTGAACTTTTATGGCGGCCTTAGCTTTTTAATTGGTTGTAGAGTCATTTTCGTAGCTGGTTTACCTACTATGTGGGATCATAATTGTTTCAATTTGAACCTCGTTTAGGGAACGTTAATGATTGATTACTGATGTATGATTAGCTCCTAGAGATTTCAAAGTTTCCATCGAAGCCCTGAAGATTAAAGAAAAGTTCTTCCCTGCCTCGGTTTCCCTATCTCACTCTTCCTCGCGCTTCTCATGTGAGCTCGGGAAAAGAGGTTGGAAGATGGGGATAAGGAAACCGGGGCAGGGAAGTTTCTCTCGTATGTACCGACCCCATAGCGGTTGATATGTTTGGACTGTATAATTCCGGTGTAGATACAGGACCTACCATGATCTGACATTCTTGTAGATTGCATATCTTCTTTGCTGGCTTTCCATTTTCTGGTCGCAAATGATAATATTGATCAAAATTCGGTGGTCATGTCCCACAGGTGGAGCAAGCTGTTGAAGTATACCATGACAAAGAATACAGGTCCAAAAGATGGCTTTTCCCCTCTTACAACTTCACCCTTTCGGTAATTTGGACTCCGTTTCTCGTCAAAGCGGGTATTTTCGAAGACATGAATGGAGTTTCTACTTCCGAAATCCAGCTTTATCTTGACGAGCTCGACAAGACATGGACTGATCAGTATAGCAGCTTGGATTATGTGGTGATTGCCGGAGGGAAATGGTTCCTAAAGACTGCAATTTACCATGAAAACAACACGGTCAGCGGCTGCCATTACTGTCCCGGAAAGAACTTGACAGAGTTAGGGTTTGAGTACGCATATCGCAATGCCCTCCGTCTGGTTTTCAATTTCATCACCCGTTCGGATCATAAAGCGTTTGTTCTCTTGAGAACCACCACACCCGACCACTTTGAGAATGGAGAGTGGTTCAGTGGGGGGTATTGCAATAGATCAGTGCCATTCAAAGAGGGTGAGGTTGATATAAGAGATGTCGATGATGCAATGCGAAATATCGAGCTGGAAGAATTCGAGAAGGCTACAGCCGAAGGATCGGAGAAGGGAGTAGACTTTAAACTACTGGACACAACCTACCTTTCACTACTGAGACCTGATGGGCACCCAGGTCCATACAGGCAGTTCCAGCCATTTGCAAAGGATAAGAATGCCAAAGTTCAGAATGATTGCCTACATTGGTGCTTGCCCGGGCCAATAGACTCTTGGAATGATTTGGTTATGGAATTGTTGGTCAATGGCGAAAAATATCGATGATCGAACGCCTGGCTTATAAAGTCTTGCAGCTGTGGTTTGTCCTGTGATCAAATCTGTGCCTAATACAACAGGCGCGACGCTGACCCGCAATCCATGAAATGTAGAAAGGCTTTGCCAAGGAAAAAAGTGAAGTTGCATGTAAACATATTTATTCTTTTACAATGTCAAATTCTTTGGCCAAGCTGCAAAACTTCATACCCTTTTGTATTACCACAGAGCATATATATGAAACTACAAATCTCACAGAAAAATCCCATTTCTGTAAAACTTATGTACCTACCACTGCTGGAAAGAAGAACGCAAAACTCCACATAAGTTCATCGTTAAGAAGCTATTTACGACTTACAGTTCTCCCTGCCTCAAAACTACTAGCACCATGTAAAGAAAGACCATTGCACCTTACTCCTCTATAGTTCAGAGAGTTCTTGGCTAGCATCATGCTGCCATAGGGCAGCGCAGATTGGCAGTTCACCAGTGTTTCTCTTCTTTATACAAGAACCGAACCTAGAATCTGCCGTTCAGCCATACCCACGCCACTCGAGCTAAACCTCATGGTCACTTACAGGACCAAAATGTCTATTTGCATCATATAAGTACTACTCAAATCCAATGAAACTACTAATAAACAAAAATTGAAATGAGCATGATAACAAATGCAATGGAATTTGATTGGTTCTTCTCAGCTTGAAAAGCAAGCAAACGTCAAGACAACCGAGAATGCATATTCCAGGAAATTTAACTCCACAACCTTAAATCAGAACTCACATTTCAATTCTGGATTATTGAACTAACAAGCCATGTCGGAAACTGCAGCATCACCACAATTTTACAGAACAACAAATAAAGACAGAAAGTGAAAAGCTTGGGTTACATTGAAAAGGCAGCTCTTTCACCTTCCTCCTCTTACTTGCTTGAAGTGGATGCATCTGCATTCCTTGGCTTCGGCTTCAGAAATCGATCCTGCGTAATTTAACATGTAAATTATAATGCTCACGTCCCAAATGTTCAGCAAAAATGCAACATAACCCACACACACACATATTGAACTACAGCAAGCTACACACACACACATATATTGAACTGGGCAAGCTAAAATACTGATTTAAGTCTCATTTGGCAGGAATTTAGGCATATTAAACACACCCAGATGCGCAAATCGAGGGAAATTGCATAAACCTGAAATTCCTAAAACTTCAATTAAGAAAATGAAGCTCTGAAACCCTGGATTTTTTTTTTCCCACCCGAAGGAGCAGGATCTAGACACATAAATCAAAACCCAATAGGCTCATTTGATGACTCGATACTTTAACACAAATCGTGGATTTGAAACAAAGAAACATTCGAATTGATGAATCTGAAATTCTATAAGATAAAATAAAACTTGAAGAGATGAATAAATAAAAGGGGAAATTACGTTATCGTAGAAGATGAAGTGGGCTACGACGACGGTGCCTACTATGCCCCCCAAGATCGCTACGGGTCCTGTCAACAGACTCCATTTCCTGTATATCATTTTCTTCCTTTTCTTCTTCTTCTCCTCCTCCTCCTTCCCTTCTCTCGATGAAGCTCAGGTCTCTGGTAAGCTTTCGATTTACATGGAAGCGTTATACGAAGAGGACCAAGTTTATTGGGCCTATACTTGGGCTACCCAAAGTCTAAAAGGACCTGTTCTTGGGCTTTGCGTATACATCAGCATGATTTTTCGGATAGACGGAATCAGAACCAAGGGTTTCTAATTGCTTCAGAAAAATTGATCCTTATAAAATGAGTTGCATGGATACCCACAATTTATTTGTTTTTTTTATTTTCTTATTTTAACGACCATCGTATCCCATTGTTAAAGTTGCCAAAATACCCAATTAGGGAATAATTTTAGCATTTAAAAAAAAAATGAATGGGTTAGGTTTCAAATGAGTTTGTGGATAAGTCGATAGGGTTTCAACTCATTCTGGTTGGAGTTGAAACTTGTTCATTTTTGAAAGCATGTATTCTGAATGGTGTGCTTTTTTTGGATGAATCAAGGGTATCCCTCACACGTAGGTGAGGACTAATCCCTCGAGCTGGGTCGGACCCTATTTAGGGGGAAACTCTCCCAATGCTGACTTCTCCATTAATGGTGTGCTTTTTATTGCTTGATGTTTGGCAACTATTTTACATGAAATAATACTTGGGCGCTTGCTGTTCAGTATCCAAATATTACTCACTTTTGACTTGACCCAATAACAAATAAACACGTGTAATTTTAAAATAAATTAATATACTCCCTATTCTGGTAAAGAACAACCTTAAATGCCTAACCAAACATCCATTTCTTTGTCGTTCTCTACCTCCCTCCCCTGAGAGCGTTTAAAGAGGGGTGCGAGAAGATTTATAGGGTTGTGAAAAAGTTTCGTTGATTTTCCATCCGTTTTCTCCATTTTCTGGTCCATATCAAGATTCAAGCTTTCCATGCGAGTCCAAGCATGTTAGTCTCCTCCTGTTTATATTGCTCAATAATTTGCTTTGGTGCCTATATGTACTACTACCAGTAGTAGTAACGTAAGTACATTTACTTTTGCATTCGATATTCCGAGTTTCTAAACTTTCAATCTGCAAAACAAATGTTCCCCGTTACATATGTATAACATATTGTTAATAGAAGGATCTCCACCAAAAAGAAGTTGTACAGGGCTAAAGGATGGATAATTTTTCCTGTCTAGTTTAGTCTTCTATTTTGTATCATTAAACTACCTTACGACAGCATCTCATTAACAACTTACGCTTAATCCACCTTGCTTAATATTAATTTGAAAAAAAATGCACTCCTTATATGCAACCTGTTGTAATGTCCTTTTCTTTTAACAACATCGCGATCAGCAACTTGCATTGCATGTTGTCTATAGCTTTCGTGTACCAGATTTTAATTTTTTTAAGTGATATTCAATCACTACAATTGGACACAGTTGTCTTTTTCTTTGTTTACTTATTTATTTATTATTTTGTCTACCTATATCAACTTAAACTAAAAAAAATAATATTAACCAAGACCAAAAAGTATATACAACACAACGTCTAGATGGAGCCGGATACCGGAATAGTTCTGGAATTCCCTAAAAAATGGACCACATCAGAATTACGTACGCTACTAAAAGTCCAAGAGAGATGAGACTTATCAAGTGCCGTCATGAAAAATAAAATATGATCGAGAAATTTCTGATTGAGCCGACATCAAAGTATTAATTACGCCACGTCCATATGGAGTCTGATATGATAATCTTAATTAATATATTGTTTTGCTTGTGAGTAAGCAATATCATAATCAACCTCTCATTATCTCAGCCTCCATATTTAATCCAAAGGGATGCTGCAAAGTAGCAAAAGACTCAAACATCAATTTGTAACTTCTTTGGCGTCATTTTACATCATCATAATGTCATATTGTGCGGGATATACATGATTGAATAAAGTTAACAATCGGAATCATTCAATTTATTAATATTCATTTGAAGATCCTTCTTACAAAAAATTATTTGAATTGGAGATCATTTTACCATCTAAATGTATCAAATAAATGGTTAGTTCATTATGAATATATTATTTGGTACTTGTATCGTCAATTTTTTCTATTCATTTGAATGACTAAATAGTCTTCAACTAAAATGATTTTTTTTAGGAGTGATTTTCAAATGAAGATTAAGAAATTAAAAGATTACGATTATGAAATTTGGACGGTCAAAATATTTATTTCCAAAACAAGAATGAGCTCATACCCTGTTACATCCCACATCACCCAGAGATGTGGATCCTGTAAGCCTTATATGTATATTCCCATCTCTACCTAGCACGAGGCCTTTTGGGAGTTCACTGGCTTCGGGTTCCGTACGAACTTCGAAGTTAAGCGAGTAGTGCGCGAGAGCAATCCCATGATGAGTGATCCACTGTGAAGTTTTCGTGTGAGTTTCCAAAAACAAAATTGTGAGTGCGTGATCGAGGCCCAAAGTGGACAATATCGTGCTACGACGAAGTCGGATCTGGAATGTGGTGGGCCCAGACCGGGATGTGACATACCCCAACTAAGGATCCTTAATGAAAAAGGTTTAGACTAAGTTTAATTTAGCAAAAAACCACCATATACTGTTATTTAACCAGAATGACTTCTTATTTAATCAAGACAAGTTATATCAAACATTAAACACATATGGGCTGAATTAAAGCCCAAAACGAAATATTTGTTTTTTACAGCCATACCCCTAACGGAACCCCATTATGTCAGCTAATTCTGTTACAAATAAACTTTCTTTTATTTACAAACATGCTACTACCTCATTATTGCAACAGACAAAGATTAATGGTTTATTCACATTTTCATGTACGGCACAATAACCAATGAATGAAAAGTCAATTAAGCACAGAAGATACGGAGAGGGAGGGAGGAAGAGAGAGAGAGAGAGAGAGAGAGAGAGAGAGAGAGAGAGAGAGTTGCCAATTTGAGCTTTTCACTTGTCCGTCGAAAAGTCAATTATAAGTGCTACAGCTGCATGCCATGCATGGCTGATCAAATTTCTAAACACCATCTCTTGGACCACATTCCTCTGCCTCGATCTTCATTTGAATAACAATATAATTTAAACAAAATTTAAAAAAAATTAAATTAAATTCTTTTAACAAAGCTTCTTTATATGTATTTCTTGAAGTTCCAGCTGAATTTGGAAGCAATAGCTGGTATTTATCTTGGATTTAAGTACGGTTGGTTGCCATTGATTGGTACTCCGCGTTCCAAGTTCTTCTTCCTTTCTTACCATGCCTGCGTAATTATGTATGTGTCAATCAATTATTATCACACACACTCGCTCTCTCTATTTGTTAATAGTTAATGCTAGAAATATCAAATTTCTAAATCAAATGATTCAGATGTTGATAATTGAATTATTACCTAACCAAAAGCACATGCAAGTCGCACGCCAATCCATGTTCAATTTCAGAAATAGTCAATTTACGAAATAGTGTAGTACCGTGTTCAGTTTCAGAAATAGTAACCGAGTTTAGTTTTAGAAATAGTACTCTATTTAGTTTCAGAAATAGTCGGTTTAAGAAATAGTATAGTACCCGTGTCAGTTTCAAAAATAGGAAATGCATTTAGTTTCAGAAATATCCTTATTCAATTTCAGAATTAGTCGATTTAAGAAATAGTGTAGTACTCGTATTCATTTTTCAGAAATAGTCAGTGTTTAGTTTTAGAAATAGTATAATGCATGTGTTCAGTTTCAACAATAGTAAAATACTAGTGTACAATTTAAGAAAGTGACAATCCCGCGTTCAATGATTAGTTTAAGAAATAGTATAGTATCAGTTTCAGAATAGTGAGTTTAAAATTAAGAAATAGTGAGAAAGATAAAGAGAGTGTGTGAGTGTGCCGGACGCACGGGTCCCAACCATCAATTTTTGTTACTTTTTTAAAAATTTTTATTGTATTAAACAAGATAAATACCCAAATGATGATAAGTTTTCCCAAAAACCCTAAGTTGAAATCCAAAGCTAGAGCCTAACCTTCTGTTCCAACCTAAGTTCCAAGCTGTACGAAATTGATCACAACTAACGCCATGTACATTTGCACTCATTTCTTTTGTTTTTTAATATCTCTATATAGATATAATACTGATATGATATGCAACTACTACAACATATGCATCCTATGCAACTACTACAACATATGCATGCATTGTGACTGGCAGGTAGGAAGAGAGTTGAAAATTTGAGAAGTGGTGATCGCTATTTACAGATGTGGAGGTCGGCTACAAACCTACAAGGCTTAGTAGCCAAGTACTTAGCAGCCAAGTAATTATGTCGATAAATGTAGGGTAAATGACTAGGCTTGTGAATGTACTTTGAGAATAGGATTCTTTACCCTTCTCTCATATTCTCTTATTTTGTTTTTATCTTATTATCAAAAACTAATATAAGATGTTGACGTGACTTAACCGTGATTGTTTAAATAGGATAGGAGGGGAGGGGAGGGAAAAAAAAGAGGAGAGAATCCTACTCCTTTGTGTGAACAATATGTCAGCATAATCATCTAAGGAAATTGACACACGCATGAAAACGTGTCAATTAACTAGCAACATCATTGAACAAATGTTGCCACGTTTTGTGTAGGTCTCGTGTCCAAACTTGCTCGATTTATGACTCATTTAAATGTGTTTTTAAAATAATTAAATTTTTTTTAGAGAAAATATTTTTTGATTCAAAAAGCACTTAAAGTGCTTTCTGCAAGAAGCATTAATAATATGCTTCTTTTTATTAAGAATTGGTTCTAAAAATATTTTCACTAAAAAAACTTTTAATCATTTTAAAAACACATCAAAATGAGCTTTTATTCATCCTGCGAATTTACACGAAGCACTTAAGCCACCCAACTTGTCAGTAGTGCAGGTTCCAAGCTGAAATAGGAGAGATTACCTTGTCCCAATGCATCGTTACTCTACACATACACATATATACCTCCATACGTATACAAAATATAGACAAGTAACAAACATAAAACAATAGATATTTAATATGTCATGTATTTTTTGAAAACGGAAAAAAAAAAAAATGGCGAGGAAAGAAAAGCCAGCACAGAGTCTGATAAAAACCAGCAAAGAGAATCAAACCCAGTTGATGTCGAAATCAGAGGCACCATCGGCAATGCTATCATAATCAGCCCCAGATTCAAATCCATGACCGTCGCGGCCGATTGGGGCAAAAAGAGCCCCTAATTGCGTGTGACCCATTAATAGGTCTCACGTGAGGGGATGTGTTGAAATATCACACATCAACCATATCTTTGAGAAAAGAAGAGCTTAAATATCCTAACCCCACTCCAATGAGCTTTTTGTGATAAAACCTCACACTTGAGGATTGTTCATGTGGTAATTACCAAATTAGAGATAATAAGTGGGTCCTTTGTCCATCTCTCTGAGAATTCTATAACACCGCCTAGACACTAGGCAGCTGACCATTGCCCCAATTAATTTCTAGGCGTTTGAAAATTAACAAAGGGCGCCTACGTCCGCTTAGACGTTCGCCTAGTCTGCATAGTTCAACTAGGCGCTTGTTGAATAATTGGATGAACACTCATTATATGTTTGTTCCCCATATTTTCAATGTGTTCTAATATTTTATAATCTATAGGTCATTTTATTTTGCAATTGGGAATTGTTATTAGCACTCCAAAATTTTCAATTACACTCTAAACTTTCCATATTTAGAAAGAATAATACACTTATGAGAAGTGCAAAATAAGATTTTTAGAGTACTAATAACAGTACTCTTAAATTTAATGTTTTGAATTTGACGTCTCTTTTAGGGGGGTGTAGTCAAATTAAGATTTGAAAGGATTTTAAAAGACTTTAGAATCAGCTTGTAGTCAATTAGGATTTTTAAGAGGATTTTAAAGGACTTTAAAGTCATGGTGTAGTCAAAGTAAGATTCAACAGGATTTGAAAGAATACATCCAAATCCAGGTGTAGTCAATTAAGATTTAAAATTCGTGGTACAAATCTGTAGGTATTCAAAATGTTATGGATTTTAATGGATTTCATTAAGTAATGGATTTTGGAGGATTTGAGAGCCAATTTATGAATAAAAAGGGCTGTGAAGAATCCCATTCACACCCGTAGGATTTCTTTCTTCAAACTGACTTCTCTCTTGTCATGCTCTCAATGCTGTACTCTTGCGACAACTCGTTCTTCTCCTTGGCGTCCACCTTGGCAAAAGTACATCTTCGCGCTTGAGTTTGGTAGCTGCTCTTCACAGGGTTTCAAGGCCTGGCAGTGTCCGCACCACGGCGCTAGTTTTAAACCCTCATCGTTTTCATCGGGATTTAATCGCACTTTGAGCTGCTATTTTGTGCTATCTAATAAGAGCCAAATGGCAATTAAAACCCATTTAAATTTTCGGCACAAAGTTGTCAACTTCTGATTGCTTCCTTTATTGAAATTTTAAAACCGTCAGCAGCTGCTTTTGCTTTCTTATCTTTCCTTTTCTTCCATTTGCTCAAATTGAGAGAGAGACAGATTCTAATGGTGGAGAGAGATTTTTCATATTAACCAGCAATTAACTCAAAACATCTTTCACATTTAATCGTTGATTTTGTATTTATCTATTTAGCATTTTCATTAACAAATATTGGGTGATGAGGATATTGATGCATAATACTAGTTTATCTATGTATAGTAAACTAGTACATGACCTTGAGCTTTTACAATGTGTTTTTGTTGTGGTTGCTTAATTTCTACTTTGTGTGTCAGATTTCTATATCATTTATGTTGTAGGAATCAACCATAAATCTATAGAAATCCATGAAACAAGATCATACAAATTCATAGAAATCTATAATAAAAGTCCATATAAATCTTTCAAAATCCATATAGATTTGTAAAGTCTATTAAAATCTTTTAAAATCTGTCACTTAAAGAAATCCTCTAAAATTCTCTAAAATTCAAATTGACTACACCCTCTTTAGAAATACTCTTGGTATGCAATTAGCATTTATAAAAGAGAATTCTTAATTATGTAAAAGACGGACATAAAATTTTGATAACGCAAGCATTACGTTTGAATTGACATCACTCATATGATTACATGGCTGGCCATCCCTGTCAAAGACCTCTCCCTCCAGAAGTTGCCGTCCTCCCCTCTCTCTCTCTCTCTCTCTCTCTCTCTCTCTCTATCACGCACACATTACATCCTTGCATAATATTCCCACCACCACAACCAAACAACACAAACCCTACAGTAAGTACCAAAAGCAAACCTCCCTAATCCCAATTAACTATTAATCTCTGTCTCTCTCTCTCTTCCCAAAACACCTCACATCTATAAAAAGCAGCAGCTCACCGGATTCATTCTCATCACATGCCCACATAACTTTTCTCCTCTCTCCCAAAAGCGCTTCACGGAAAAGCACTTACCCAAAAAGCACAAGTTAACCACCATGGCAAAATCGCAAACACCTCACATAGCAATTCTCCCGACTCCAGGCATGGGCCACCTCATCCCACTCGCCGAGTTCGCCAAACGACTCGTCCACCTTCACAACTTCACCGTCACATTCGTAGTCCCGTGCGACGGCCTTCCCACAAAAGCCCAAAAGTCTGTCCTCGAAGCCCTGCCAACCGCCATCGACCATGTCTTCCTCCCTCCAGTCTGCTTTGATGACCTCCCACAAGGCTCCAAAATCGAAACCATAATTTCCCTCACCGTCGCCCGATCCCTCGCCTCCTTCCGCGATGCCCTCAGCTCCTTGGCCTCCCGCGCGAAGCTTGTCGGGCTTGTCGTCGATCTCTTCGGCACAGACGCCTTTGATGTCGCCAAAGAATTCAACCTCTCCAACTACATTTTCTTCCCGTCCACGGCCATGACCCTCTCTCTTTTCCTCTACTTGCCGAAGCTCCACGAAACGGTGTCGTGCGAGTATCGAGAACTCTCCGACCCTGTCACGATTCCCGGGTGCATCCCAATTCCCGGCAGCGAGTTGCTCGACCCGGTTCAGGACCGGAGAGACGAGGCCTACAAATGGGTTCTTCATCACACGAAACGGTACCGTTTGGCGGATGGGATTATGGTGAATAGCTTCACAGAGTTGGAGCCAGGTGCATTGAAAGCTTTACAGGAGAAAGAACCAGGTAAGCCGCCCGTTTACCCGGTTGGACCGCTAGTTAAAATGGACTTCGGTGGCGTTTTGGATGACCAGTCATCCAAGTGTCTGAAGTGGCTGGATGAGCAGCCACGTGGCTCTGTACTGTATGTTTCTTTCGGGAGTGGTGGGACCCTCTCTTTTGATCAGATCAATGAGTTGGCTCTAGGGTTGGAAATGAGTGGGCAAAGATTTTTGTGGGTGGTGAGGAGTCCTAGTGACCATGCTGCCAACACCGCTTATTTTACCGTTCACAGCAAAAATGACCCTTTGGAGTTTCTTCCCAAAGGGTTTCTAGAGAGTACCCAAGGGCGGGGTCTGGTGGTGCCTAATTGGGCACCGCAGGCTCATATTCTAAGTCACGAGTCAATAGGTGGGTTCTTGACCCATTGCGGTTGGAATTCTACATTGGAGAGTGTCATAAATGGTGTACCTCTTATTGCTTGGCCACTATTTGCTGAACAAAAAATGAATGCTTTTATGTTTACCAAAGATCTAAAGGTGGCACTGCGACCCAAGCCCGATGAACATGGTTTGGTTGGAAGGGAGGAGATCGCGATGGTGGTTCAAGCTCTCATGCAAGGCGAGGAAGGTAAGCGACTAAGAAACCGAATGAAGGAACTAGAGGATGCTGGTGCTAAAGCTCTTGGTGAGAATGGGGCTTCCACAAAGGCACTATCTGAAGCCATCACAAAGTTGAAAACCCAAATTCCAAATTAAAATGTGATCTCAGTATCTTCAGGCATCCACCCACTTTACTTTTGTATTTTCAGCTTTCCAGTGATATGGTCCAAAAGGGTGCAATGATGGTATAATAGTTGTTGGTTGACCGTAAAATATTATGTATTGAACGGCCACTTCGATCCTTTTCTTTTGTATTTATTCTTGCATTTGTTGTTTAATATCTCTGCTAATTAATAAAACATTCATTCTCAACTAAAATTCTATAAAATTATCAGTTTAATCATTTAATTAAAATAGAACATGAATAAGAAATATGAGGTAGAAGTGTAATTTTACTTTTTTTTTTCAAAGCTTCATCTATCCTAACATATCTCTAATTAAAATATAAAAAAAAATAAAAATAAAAAAACTTTCCACTCCCACATTCCTTATTCCTTATGACTCTCTTTCTTTCTTCTTCTATTTCAAAAATAAAAATAAAAAAATTTCCCACAGTGTCCATATGCTTGTACATGGATATGTAAAGTTGGTGAGATGGATAGCCTTGGTAGGCTGAGGCACGATATGTAATGGGGTAAGGTGGTGACCCAACTGGGAAGAAACCTGTTACATCACGATAAAGTCGTGGGCACATATGTATGGATGAAGAACCGGAGGTAGGGCAAATATGGCAATTAATATTAGGGAAAGTGATAATTAAGAGGAACAGTATGAACCCCCACACCACATATATGGCTGTCATGGTGTACAACTTGGAGAGGTTTTTCAAAGTGATCGGTACACGGAATACATCACGTGTTATTATATAAATTATAAGATATGTGTGCTAAAAAGTTAATAATTTAAAAAATAAAATTTCCCACCACTCCTATTAAAACACGTGATGTACTATTTGTATTCCTATCACAACTAAAAATTTCTTTACAACTTGAGCATGTTTGTAATGTCGTGGGCACACATGTATGAATGGAGAACTGGAGGTAGGGCAAGTACGGCAATTATTGTTAGACTAACTTCAATGGTTGGGCTAAAAGTCAATTTTTTTAGCTAGGAAAATTTAACTTTTAACCCAAAAACAGCTTGTCTGTTCTAACCCTTCAGGCCTAAAATTTTAGCTCGGAATTATTAAAGAATGAACTTAGGCTATTTTAATAAATAAATAAATAAATATGTAGACTATCGTAAATTAATTTTATGAATATTTTAATCTAAAAATATTTAAATTCCGATAAATGTTGAAAAATCACTAAATTTTCCACAAAGCAAGCCTTCAACTTTCACCAATTTTTTAACCCTAGGCTAACTTTCAATTCACCAAACGTTTAATACCAAAATTTCAATTTTCACCAACCCTTCAACACCAAACTTTCAACTTTCACCAACTGTTCAACTTTCATCTATCATCCTCTATATAAACAAATGTCTAATATTAGGTGATCACACAACCTTTCAACCTTCAATCATCCTCTATATTCACCGATCTTTCAACCTTTCAACCTTTCAATCATCCTCTATATTCACACAACCTTTCAACCTTCAATCATCCTTTATATGGATAGAGAATCAGAGGTAGGGCAAACATGGCAATTATTATTAAGGAAAGTGATAATTAAGAGGAAAAGTATGAACCCCACACCACATATATTGGTTGTCATGGTGTACAACTTGGAAAGATTTTTCAATGTGATCGGTATACGGGATGATACATTACATGTTACTATACAAATGGTGAGATATATGTGCTAAAAAGTTAAAAATTTAAAAAATAAAATTTCCCAACCGTTCAATACCAAACTTTCAACTTTCACCAACCGTTCAACTTTTATCGATCATCCTCTACATAAACATATGTCCAATATTAGTTGATCACACAACCTTTCAACCTTCAATCATCCTCTATATTCACCAATCTTTCAAAGAGTTTTTGTTTCCTAAAAATCTTCAATATCTCATCAATGAGTGATAAAAGAAGACGTAGCATGACAATGTAGATGACACAAAATCAAGCAAGGATTGAGATTGAGGATGCAGAATTGTTCAACGCCGAAGCTGAACTTGTAAACTCGTTTATGCAATCTGAGCACCATGGCGAATCTAGCCATCGTGGTTCTGTCACGAGGTGTTCATTTGTGCAGCATGATAGAAAAGAGTGTCATGACCGAATGATGAAAGATTATTTCATCGAGCGTTCGAGATTTCCTGCTCATGATTTTCGAAGACGGTTTCGGATAAAAAGAGAGCTTTTTGAAAGCATCTTGAACGCAGTTGTCAATCATGACCACTACTTTGCAAGGAGGATAGATGTTGCAGGCCGACAAGGTATTTATAGAGTTTTTGGATGAATTTTGAGTTAAATAATTTTTTTAATTATTTTAGCCGTTGGATTTAAATTTGGGCTGTTAGAATTTTTTTTTACCGTTAGATTTGATTATATTCAATCTCAGCCGTTGGATTTAAAGAATTTTAAAATAACATATTCTAAAAAAAATTAAATTTGAATATGGACCGTTGGATCAACCAACGGTCCTTAAAGCCCAGCCCTTGAATTAAAATTATATCCGTTGGGATGATGATGTTAGCCGACACACTGATAGTGGGGCCCACCTTGTCGGGAAAGCCTTGCAAACCAATCGCGTGGGGCACGTTGGAGCGTGGGTGGGCCGAAACTGGCCCAAGTGCCAGTGAGTCCACTCACATGGGGGGGTATTTGGCCAAGCTTTGGCATTTGGCTTTTAGCTCAATGTTTTAACATGGGTTGGATAATGTTTTGGGGGGGGGGGAATAAATGAGGAAAATTGGCTTTTAGCCCACCATTGAAGTTGGTTTTAAAGAAGGTGATAATTAAGAGGAAAAATATTAACCCCCACACCACATATATGTGGCTGTCATGGTTTATAACTTGAGCATGTATGTAAACCACCTTTTTGGCTCAAACTTTGATTGGCTAGAAAAAACTGAATTATACCACAATACATATGATTTGTACGTGATTGCACCCAACTTATTTTACTGGTTTTATTTGAAGTTGGATATTATATCTATAATGTTATTTTCTTAAATATCATGCCTAGTGTTCTTTTTATAAATAGGATCAGAATTTCCGTAACATACAAGTTCTCTTTTTATAAATAAGAATTTCAACTAAAGTGCAATTTATATTCAAATGTGATGTTTTTTATATCATAATTATGTCACACGAGAGAGAGAGCTAGCAATACTATTAGTTCTCATTTTTAAAGGGAAGAAAAAAAGGAAATCAACATGAAACGAGGATGCTAAAATAGCAGTGTCTCAAACTTATGTCGCATTCATCTTTTAGATCTTTATTTTAATATAATCTTCTTGAAAAATGCTACGGCACTGAAAATTCTAGTAGATAAGGTCTTATTTTATGCAATTCTTGAAAAATGCTACGGCACCGAAAATTCTAGTAGATAAGGTCTTATTTTATGCAATTCGGGAAAGTAAGTCATGGTTGTGCAGGCTGACGAATGAGTGATGGTGATTAATCTACAGCTCGAGCTTGAATTATTACTAATATATGGATGCTCATTAGGAAGAACGTGTGAAACATAAAATACACTAATTTCGTCATTATGTTAGCTGTTAAGTAACCTTTAGAAACTTCCTATAATAAGCATTAGCAAAACTAAGGGTTTGTTTGGATGTACTTTTAAAATGGTTGAAAACGGTTTTAGAGAAAATATTTTTGAATTCCAAAAACACTTTAAGTACTTTCTACAAGAAACACCAGTTATGTACTTCTTTTAGAAAGCACTTTAAGTGTTTTTCCAAGATTTACTTGCATTTTTACTAAGAATGGGTTTAAAAAATATTTTCACCAAAATCACTTTCAGTCATTTTAAAAACACATCTAAATGAGCTCTAAATCCATGAGTATGAAGACAGATCAAAACACCTCTTGGTGATAAGGGAAAAAGATTATGTCATTATGCAAGTGTCTTTTTTTTTTTTTTTTGGGATAATAATATTGATGCATTAAACTGGATTAAATGTATGAATTATTTGTAACATTTTTTTTAGAGCATCTCCAACTCTAAGGGAGTTAGCAATGTTTTTCTTTAAAAATGTTATTTGCTAACACTACTACCTTTAACACTTTTCGTGACAAAGGGAAATTCGTCGCGTAAAGCGTCATAGCGTCACATTGGAATTTATGCGACCAAAACTTCATTGGATAGAAATTGTTGCGCAAGGGTCGTGAAAACAGACTTTGTGCAACGATATAAAAAATTTTGTCGCACAAAATTAAACATGCACAACGATAAAGATGTCACATAGAATTTAAGGGAACGAAAGCAATTTGTTGCGCGTAAGCTGATGCAACAAAGTGAGCTCGACGAGATACAGTATATGGGATAGTTGGTGCTTGTGGTCAATAAGTTTGTGTGACGAGTATGTGATATCGGACATTAGTTAACGAAAACTTTGCGCGACTAGTAATTCGTCGTGCAGGGGTCAAAATTTTAAACTAATTTTAACTTTAAAAACATAAGAAATTGTCGATATTACTTTATGCGACGAACATGTGGTCACACAAGGATCAAATTTTAATTATTATTTTTTTGTTAATTTTTTTTCCTTTTTTTTTTTTTTTTTTTTGTTCTGGTTTTATTTAAATAATAATTTTTTTTGTTTTTATTAAAATTACTATTATAATGAATGGAGGAAAAAAAATAACATTTATATATCAAATAAAAATGTACGTACAAGTAAAACGTTTAAAACTAAGAAAAAAGAAACCTATAATCTATTTGGTTATTAAATGGGGTAGTTTGTTGGTCGGGCTGGAAGTTTGGCTGCTGAACGGGCTGCGAGTTAGCGTGTTGGGGAGGATGACGGTCGGGCTCGTGGATGAGCTCGGAGGTCGACTGGTTTTGTGGCTTGGAGGTGAAGGGGATTGCAATGCCGGGTGGGAGATAGATGCCGTTCGAGTTGAAGGTCTTAACGATCAACGCGAGCTTACTCCTCAAGTTAGCCACCTCATGCGTCAATTTAGTGATGCCAAGGCCTTGTGGTTGCGATGATGATGAGGCCCCAGTAGCGCGTTGACGAGCCTGCCCCTTCCTCCGTCAATACTTCCCTGGCCTCCACTCGAGGGTCGCATCCAAGGTCTCAGTCAAGATCTCAAAACCCTGCATCCTCGGGTGGAGCCATGGACTCGATAGAAGTGTCCAGGGGAAGCTAGGAGGCAGACTCCTGAAGGATGGTCTGGCTTCTCTCCACCATTGTCACCTATAAGAATAAGACAAGAAATGGATTGGTAAGAATTAATATTAAATTAAATTTTGTAATATTTGGAAGCAGTAAAATAGGAATTTGAAATGAAGTTGTACTTACGTGCAACTTTTGGCAAGCTCATCCTTTGGCCGAACATAAACATCCTTAAAGACGTCTATCTTGAGGAATTTAGAATCCCTGAAACAAAAAACGAAAAAAAAAAAAAAACATTAAGACAACAGAAAATAAATTGAATATTTGTAAGAAATTGGAAGTGTGAATATTAAACACACTCATTGCTTGTCGTTGCGCCCTCATCCTATAGGAGAATGGTCTCGAACCAGAATGGTGGATAAGAGTCTTCTTCTCTCAGTTGATCTTGTTCGCCTTCGCCTTCTTCTGTTAACATAAAATTAATGTATTAGTGTAATATTTAAAGAAAATGAAACAAATTCATAACTCAAAGTGGGAATAATTAATAAAATAAATAAAATAAAATAAGTAATACATATGTAAAAATATACCACATAGGCGGGCTCCAGAAAATGGTCGTAGAGCCACACCCACTCGTCCGGTTGATCCTTTAACTCTAGCAGGCAATCCTTCTCTAGAGCGACCTCTGGATCATCAAACAAGTCAAAATGTTTGTGGCGGCCGCTCTTCCACTGCTTGTACTGCTCGTAAAACAACCTGTCCAGGTAGCTGTTCATCGACTCGTTTATGTCGTCAAAATTGTAGTTTGTCTACAATTTATCGAGTATTAAATTAAAATAATAATAAAAAAAACCAAAACTAAAATTAAAGTTAAAGTTGAAAAAGGAAAAAAAAATTAATGTAAAAATAGGGTTAATCTCAGTTTCCTACTCTCAAGTTTCTTGGTTTTCAACATTTAGTACATCAAGTTTTTTTCATCCCAGAGTGGTAGTTGAAATCAAAATTTTGGGACAATTTCATACATCCGTTAAGGTTGCTATTAAGTCAGCCGTTAACTGGTGACGTGGCACGTACGTGGACAATAACTGGACATCATGTGGATATAAAAAAGGTTAAAAAATTAAAAATTAAAAAAAAAGTAGAAAAGAAATATTATTTTCTCCCCTTTTAATCTCTACCATCACGAGGAGAGTCTTTCCACTGTCCACCATCTCTGCCACCAACCCACCCCATCCATTCCTTCTTCTTCTCATCTATGTCTCTTCCACTTTTTTCTGTTTTCACCTCTCTTAAGTTCGGGAAGGACAAAAGGTACAATTGTCAATGAAATCACCGACTGGTGATGGAGATGAATGGTTGCTATGTGATGGAAGCTCGCGTTAATGGCGTGGGGAAGGATGGCGGTGGATTTTCTTCCATCCCCTCTCTCTTTTCTCGGTCGATTGCGGTCAAATCAACGGGAGCCCTCCTTGCTCTTCTCGTCGCAGCCCCCCAGTCACATCCATGTCAGATTTCATCTGCAACTTCTCGTTTAGAACCCTAAAACTAAAGATGAAGCAGCATGAGCTCCTGATGGTGGAGATCCAAGGGCGATGGTGATCGAGAACTTGGCGGCGCGGTCAATTAGAGCGGGCTTTGTAGGGAAATTTAGGCCTGAATCGAAAGTGGGTTACTGGGCACAGGGCGTGTGTTGGGAGGGTCAGGTTCTAACAATAGGTGGAGAAACATGGGTCGGCGGAAGTTCTAAAAGCATAGTGAATGAGCTAGCGTTCTTTGACGGCACGGTAAAGGGGATATTAATGGTCATGAGTCGGTGAATTTCTTCCGCGAACTGGAGGGACTCGACCTTGAGTCCTGGTAAAGGGGATACTAATGGTGGAGATCAAAGGGGGAGAGAAGAAGATTTTTTTATTATATATTTTTGGTATTTTTAATTTCTATTTTTTTAAATTTTTAAATTTTTTTAATATCCACATGGGCACCACATCATCAATTAAAGGCTAACTTAACAACAACATTGACGGATGTATGAAACTTTCCCAAAATTTTTACTTCAGGTACCACTCTGGGATGAAAAAACTTGATGTAATAAATGTTGAAAACTAAGAAACATAAAGGTAGTAAACTGAGATTAACCCATAAAAATATTAACTTGATATATAATTGAATAAACCAAAGTTAGGAACTTACTGACAAATAGTTGTGAAGCAGGTAGGGGTGGGTTCGATTTGAATCGGTTCGGTTTTTGTCAAAACTGAAACCAAATCGAAAATCGAAACCAAACCGAATTTTCGGTTTGATTCGGTTCGGTTCGGTTCAACTTTTTTTTTATTTTTGTTCGGTTCAGTTTCAGTTCTTTTTTATTATTATTTTTAATCTTTTGTCCATTCATGTAGAAATCATGAACAAAACAAACTGCAAGTCAAAACCTACATAAAACCAAATTACAGTCAGATCTCCAATGGCATGCAACACTAAGTAAATATAATCAAAACAAGTTGAAAGAAATTTCAACCCGAATCAAGTTAATGTGATATTTGATCCCAATCTTTTGTTTAATATATACTTCAGATATAAATAAATATAAAAAAAAAAAGAAAAAAAAGGCAAATGAGAAACAAAATATCAAAAACACGACAAACAAATATGAGAAATATGGAAAACCCCAAAATATGAACAATATCCAAAACCCCAACAAAATAATTAAAAGAAAAACCCATTTTAATTCACCAAAACCACAATATAAATCACATTCATTTTGATTCAAAAATTACCTGTGAGAGATTGGAAAATTCAGATTAGAATCTTCCAATTTGGATGGGGTTCCGATTCGAAAGGGGCGAGGGAAAATCATGGTTTGAAAGAAGGAATCCGCGAGGATGACATGAGAAGACTGGAGAGAGAGAGAGAGAGAGAGAGATTTGGAGGAAGAGAGGAAGAAGAGAGAGAGAGAGAGACTGAGAAAGCAGAGATGAAGAACGCAGAGGAGGGGAGAGAGAGAGTTTGAGAAAACCAAGAAGTGAAATGGGAGTGACGGTGAGGTTTGTAAACTTTAGAAATTTTATAAAGCATTAAATATTAGAATACCTATAAATGACTTACTCGTACAATTATAGCAACACAAATCCTACAATCAAGTTGACTTGAAGCAACTATTTGCAACCTAGAAGGAAGGGGTTTGAATCCTCACGCCACCATGTTTTAAGTATTTATATATGGTTTTCATATATTGGCTCGGTTTAATTTTTTGTTTGGTTTTTTTAGTTTCGGTTCGATTTTTTGAACCCACCCTAGGACCATGGTTTTCTTCTCCATCGAGATCTCGCGCCACAATATCCACAGCATAGGGCACTCGCTCTTAACGACATGTCCCACGTCATGGGCCAATGCACCATTCAGCTCCGCTGTAGGTGTAGCCTGATGCCTCTTGTCGTATCCTGTCGTGATACGATCGTTTGTCACCGATGCCTTTTGTCGTATCCTGTCGTGATACGATCGTTTGTCACCCGAGCGACCTGCCCCGTCTTAAGCTGTCGGTAATGTCACATCGGGGCCAGGAGGGGGGGACCATTTCTTGGGCCCGTTCCATCATTGTAGCACGATATTGTCCGTTTTGGGCCCTGACCACGCCTTCACGGTTTTGTTTCTAGGAACTCACACGAGAACTTCCCAATGGGTCACCCATCCTGGGAATGCTCTCGCACGCTACTCACTTAACTTCGGAGTTCCCATGGAACCCGAAGCCAGTGAGCTCCCAAAAGGCCTCGTGTTAGGTAGGGATGGGAATATACATATAAGGATCACACCCTTGGGCGATGTGGGATGTCACAATCCACTTGCTAGCCGGAGTCACCTCACGTGACCTGTACAACTTATCCATATCTCATCAATCAATACTAGCATATAAGTCGGGAGTCACTTATAGTGACCTGTATGACTTATCCATATCTCATCAATCAATGCTTGCACATAAGTCGGGAGTCACTTATAGTGACTTGTATGACTTATTCATATCTCATTAATCAATGCTAACACATAAGTCGGGAGTCACCTATAATGACCGGTACGACTTATCCATATCTCATTAATCAATGCTAGCACATAAGTCGGGAGTCACCTATAGTGACCTGTACGACTTATCTATATCTCATCAATCAATGCTAGCACATAAGTCAGGAGTCACCTATAGTGACATGTACGACTTATCCATAACTCATCAAACATCCATGCACACGAGTCGGAACCACCTCTAGTGGTCTGTACGACAAGACTGGGTGTAAATAAGTACGCTCAAGTGCTACGATCACGTGAAGACTGTGCGAATAATCGCGGGTCACCTACGAATCGGAACCACCTATAGTGGTCTGTACGACATGCATGTGCATGCCTGTGCACCTACCTTGAGTCTAAGGTGAGCGTAAGGTGCAAGAAGTGAACATCATGCGAATGACTATGCCCTGGCCACGGGCGGGAACACTAACACCGGGGGTGTAGGTTTATGAGCTCTGAATGCATCTCAATATAACATGTATAACTTATGGGCAACCTATACGACAGTGTCAGAGTTTCCTAACACATAAATGTAGTCATGCCATAACTCCATCAATTCAACTAATACCATAAATTCACCTGAACTTACTTAGGTGTCTTACGTTCACCTTTGAACTTCAAAGCATTCACAATAATTATGTGCATGTAATATACATATCGATATACCATGATGCAATCTAATACTCAACCATGTCATAGCATTTTCAATTATATACATATATATAATATGGCATAAAATGCATAAGCTGTAACGTCCTACTCCCGAACTATTTATTTTCGAGGATAATCATCGGTGATAACACCAACTAGACACTAGTTTAATTAACTATCACTACTTACCTTTCCTTACTTTAATTTCTTGATTCTTCACACATTGATTTATAACCAACATTTAACCACCAACACATAAGGTTAAATCTCACATTTTACACCAATGTCCCTCACATTGTTCAATTCCCCAAACAAAGCTATTGTCTCAATTATTTAATCTGACTTCTTGTATGGCTGCATCTAACGTCTCATTAGATTGCCTACGTACCCCAAACAGGTATCAAGCCATTCGTAGTTCATGCACACGAATATCGAGATGTCACGAACGATCCTCACCTAGAACAATTATTCAGTCACGTCTCAAAACTCTTATCCATAGAACCTGTAATTTACATAAAACGCATCCTAAGGATGTTCTAGAATGATTTGAGATCCATTGACCAAAAGTCAACCTTCGGTCAAAGATCAATGGTAGGGTCCACGACCCTACGTAACTCAATCCGGAAAATCCGCATCTCGAATTTCCGATCCAAAACTTCTAAAGATCCAAATTATACTTCTAGAACATAATACTAAAGTTTCATTATGATTCAACAGTTGGATCTCTGCCAATTGCCAATTCAAGTGGCGGTTAACGTTTTATTATACGAATTTACAATTCCAATTTGGGAAGATTCATACATCGGATTCCCAATCTGTAAGTTCCTACATTCTTCAAATATTACGTACTACAATGTAACAAAGTTTGGTGACGATCCAACGGTCGGATCGTCGATTTATATAAATACCTATTAACGTATCGTAAAGAATTTGGGTTCCAACGATCAACCTACGTCATTCAAATATCAAAATTGAATTCAAGAAATTTAAAATAGCCTAAAAATAGCATTGGCGGCCCATTGGCCACATGCTGCTGCACGCTCCGCCGTGGGTGGCGGTCAGCCGCCCCGACTCGCTGGAAAATCCAACTATTTCTAAAAATTCTCAAAAATTACAGAAATGAAGATCTCAAAGAGTAGAGAAAACTTTATACCTGCGGCTAAGGCCAATTTGGGTGGGAGAAGCCCCATTTTCTCTCAAACACCATCGGAAACCCTAGAAATGGGTGTTTTCAATTCGACTCCAAAACCGTTCCAACGCCCTAACCACTGCTTGGGCTTTGTTCCAGAGCTCAAGGGGAGGCTAATGATGGTGGAGATCGACGAAATTTCATTCAAAAATGGCGGATCACCGTCAATGATGTCTTCGACATCATGCTTCTTCTTTCACGAAATTGAACTCCAAGACCCTCAAATTTGAGCTAAAGTGGAAGATAGGAGTTGTGGATTAGATTTTGGATGAAGGAATGGTGAAATTCGACTGAAATATGGCAGAAATCAGCCTGAATCAAACTGGGTCACTGTCGGGTACACGGGTTGGCAGGTGAGCCCGTTTCTCCCTTATTTTCTTATCTCTCCTTTCCCTCATTTCTTCTCTTTTTGATTGGGCAGTTTCTTCCTCTCCCTTCTCCTAATTCGTCTAGTCTTCATCTCCTTCTTTCTAATAGGGCAGCAACCCTTTCCACTTCTCTCATTCGGTTCTCCTTTCTTCTTCCTCCCCGTAAACCCCCTTTTCTTTTCTTCCTCCCTTTCTTTTCCAACCAGCCCTAATAATAAATATAATAATAAAAATATGAAGTGAATGAAATAATAAATAACAATCTTTACCAACATAATTTTGGAATATAGTAAGGTAATCATTCATACGCGTCATGAACTAGCGATCAACGAAAATCAATACCTTCGCTACTAGGGTATTCGCGTAAATTCACATGTTAAAATTTATAAAATTGTAAAAATTAGGGACGGGTTTTCACATTAACCCTAATTAAAAAGTAACCCAAATTAAATTCCTCCCAATTAAAAATAATATGTGCTTATAAAGAACACGTATCATTGTACGTGACGAACCACTTGGTTGCACATTGAGGACTAGAAACTCGTCGCGCAAAGTACGAAATAAATATGCAATAAATACGCAATAAATGACATTTCAACGCCACCGACCATCGCTTTGCGTGATGAAATCTCGTCCCGCACCTGTTTGCGCGACCAAAATTTCGTCGCCTAATTAAGTGGTGAATACGCAGTAAATATGACGACTTGAACACTGACTGACCGTTTCATAGTGTTTTTAGCAACAATCTTTTTGCTGCATAAAGATTTACGTGACTAATTGTACATATTTATTTTATTCCATCTCAAAGACAGTTTCTCAAAATATTAATGTCAATATTATAGTATTTTGAAATTAAATCTGTTCTCAAGACGAAACAAAATAAATACAGTCCATATAAATTTATTCTTCCAAATACTAATTGAGTGTCATTATTTAATAAACCATAAGTACCCTAATAAAAAAAAAAAACTATTCTAATCATTCGCTAGTCCAGCCACTCACTACCTGCTCTCCGTCACGTTCAACATTAAACTTCAACTCCCGAAAACGATACTTGAACATGACGTCAATGTACTTCATCAAATTTGCGTCACTTTTGTCAATGTCCCAATTAGGCTGATATGCAAAAATAAATAAATTATACATATCACTAATATGTTTTATCTAAAGAACTAAATTATTATTTAACTAATTAATAATTAACACGTACTGCTAACGCATCGATCATGACCATCTTTATTTCATCGGGGACGTCTCTCCAAGATTGCCAATTCATTCCGCATCTGTCACGCACCAATACCCCAACATCGCCCCTAAACTTTTGACCATATCCGACTTCTCATAACCTACTAATTCTGCAGAAGTGTATCGAACGAATGTTGCAACTCTCTTCTTCTTCTTGTCTACCAACAAAATATACACTTATAATAGTCTACTTAAATATTTAATAAATTTACACAACCAACAAAAATTAGTACATATTACCTTTCCCAGAACCTTCACCTGAACTCTTTTTGACGAATGACCACCAGAGTCTGCCATCGCGTACGGAAAAAGAAACAAAAATTGGAATAATAATTCGGTAAAAGAAAAGAGTTTTCGGATTGAATTGTGAAGAGGAAGAGCAAAACTGTCAATTTAAAGGAAATATGGCTTCTTTGCACGACGAAACATTCATCACGCAAAACCATGTTGTAAACACCACATTCAACACTTTGGCTAAACAACTGACAGTTGAGTAAATGTTTGAACCTTTGCACGACGAAGAGCATTTTTTTGTCGCGCAAACTCTTTTTGCGCGACGAAATAGGGCATTGCGCAAGTTGTTTATCCCATTAAATTTTGTCCAACAACCTAGCGCGACAGAGTGGTATATTCATCGCGCTAACCTATTTTATGCAACGAAATTCCTTTCGTCACATAA